GTGATTATATTTACACCTGCATTAGTTTGGGCTTCCGCATGGATGTGATATCGATGGGCTGGTTTATCTACCAACACATGGGCGGTAAGTCAACGCAGTCATATTTATTTTTATTTTTGTCATTAAAGTGTATTAAAGTGATGCTGTACACAAAGTAGTAAATATATATTTATTGCGGTGTACTTTAGTGAATATTTGTGCATAAATACTAAATATATGTCGATATGTAAGCCAGGTGATAAGTTGTTTTGGAGCACGCGTTGGTCATTATATTTAGTAAGATATTGTTTACAAAATTATTTTAATTGCAATAAAAGTGGTTTGCGGTGGTAGCGTGAATCAAATTTAACAGTAAATTTATCATAAAAATATTTGTGATCTCTAGATATACCTATATACTTTAAATGTATGGTATTGTATAATGTATACTTGAAGCATAGACATGTAGTAATATGAAGCAATATTACAGTAAAATCGCGCATTTTAAACTTAAAAAGTAAACTTAATTGCATTTTTTGCCAGATATGAAATAATTTTATCCATGCAGAATAAACTACTTTATTAAAAGAAATTTTTATATGAATTAGAAAATATATTCGAAGAGGCGACATTCACCACTGAAGAACGCTTGTTTGCGCTTTTCTTAAAACTCAATAAAAAAAATTGAATAAGAGCTGGCAACTATAAATTTTTATTTGTCAGTATATTTTAATTTTATTTTCACTATTTTTCTTTTTTATTTAATTTTTACCAATAAAATTCAAAATTTTTAATTTTACTTTTTATATTTACTTTTTGTTTATTAATTTTTTTTTTTTAATTTTTACCAATAAAATTCAATTTTTTTTATTTTAACCATTTTTTTTTACTTTTATTTTATTAAATTTTTTTATATTTTTTTTTTTTAATTTTTACTAATAAAATAGTTAATTTATTCATATATAAGTATGTATGTATTTAAATTTCAACGATTTTCGCAACCTTTACTAATGCTTCTTACTGATAAGCTGTGTCAAACTGAATATGTTTACGCCTCTAATTTATTTGAAATCATATATTATATATGTCAATAATTAACTGCACAATAACCTTTGACAAAGTGATAAGCAAACATTTTTTTCAAATAAACTTACAGTAGGTGTAAATGCACGATTAAAAGTTTTTTATATATACTTTTATATTAGTAATCATGGCTTAAGAACTATCTACTCATTTATATATTGAAAATAAAGAAAAAATTTAATTCGGCTGCACCGAAGTTATAATAGCCTTCGCGGGTGCATTTCTCATAGCTTAAAAGGGGATAAAAATATATTTATATACATTTTGATCGATCAGTTGGTATTGTCGCTATATGCTATAGGTTTCCGATGTGTTCAGACAATGTAACGTTGCTTTGGGAAAAAATACATGTCAAACAAAAAAGTTTACCGTACAGTCACTTGATTCCGATCATTAAGTTTGTATGGCTGCTATGTGCTATAGTGTTTCGATCTGAAAAACTTATGTGGCGATTGTAGCGTTGCCTTGAAAAATAATCCATGCTAAATCTTGTGAAAGTATCTTTTTAAATAAAAAAAAATTTTATACAAAGGCTTGAGTTGTGCGATATCACCTACAATTGAACAACTTCTTTGGGAGAAAAAAACGTGTGAAAAATTTCAAATCGATATTTTAAAAATTAAAAGAGTAGTTCGCGTGTATACTGATAGACAGACAGACCGATGGACGTGGTTAAATCGACTCAGCTCGTCACGCTGATCATTTGTGTACATATTTTTTAAACTTTGTAGCAAACATAATATAAAAATGAGTTTAAGTAGATATAAGAAATAGATCCATCTCTCTATCTCTCTCTCTCTCTGCTAACTTAATGCGTTCAAATGTTGGCAAATTATAAGCGGCTTGTGCACATAATTACTGCTATAATTAATTGTAATCAAGTAGGACCGAAGTAGGCCGAATTTTAGCGAGATGTTATTGACTATTGTTTTTTAAATTAGAATATAATATAATTGTCATTCATTCCTTTATTTATATCTTTCACAGGTGATCTTATACCTTACATTGTCTGTGTGTTTCTTTTTGTGGTGCCAATTATGGTGATTCAGTCATTTTTGGGACAGTTTTCCAGCAGTGGTTTTATATCGGTTTTTCGCATATCACCAATTTTTAAGGGTATAAAAAATCGCAAATATTAAAAAATCTCATACGAGTACATTTATTAAAAACGAACAAATTCTAAGCGCATTACTCCGCTTTTAGGTTTGGGTTATATAAGCTTGGGCGTCAATTTGGCAGTGCTCACCTACTACAGTATGTTCGCTGCTGTGCCGTTACTCTATTTCTTCCACTCCATGCGCCCTACAATACCTTGGAGCTGTGAGGGCATGGAAAAATGGTTTATAAACAGCACCGAAGTGGATGTTGAACATGTAAATATAATAATATAATAACTAAATCTGAATTAAAATATAACTAAACATATTAATATTTCTTACAAAAAAAAAAAATACAAAAAAAAAAATGAAAAAATATGGTAATAGTCCTGCAAACTTAAGGATGTAGTGGAAATTAATGCCAGCATGGCAAAAAGCAACGATTCCTATAAATATATTGGTTATGAAGTGCCGTCTGTGTTATTCTTCAAGTAAGTTAGCGCCAAATGCAATACTTTTTCACAATTACGATCTTACAAATATTTCTAAACAAAAAACAATCCAGCTCGATTTTCGGTGGTGACGATCTGATGGAGAACTATGAGTATAATAGCCCTTTTATGTTTTCGTGGGAGTTGTTACTTTGCACAATACTTACCTGGGGAATCATCGCTGCCGTGTTTTATCGCTTCTACAACACGGATTTGGTACGTATCGCATTATTTTTTAAGCGTTCATAATTTAAAATTTTCATTTCTTTCGTTCTCTCTCCACTTTTTGCAGATGAGCAAATTTTTACGTTACACCATTTGGGCCTCCCTGTCTTTGCTGATCATCTCTGTCATACGGTTTCTGTTGCTATCACTCGATTTCAAATTCTTATTCAGTTATTTTATAGCAACTCCGCGTGAAATGGCCGAAGGCATACCAAATACACTGTTGTTTATCGTATCCGCTTTCGGTCCCGGTTGGGGTTCCATTATTGCCTTGTCTAGTTTTAATCGCTTCAAAACAAACATTATGAATTTCAGTTGGCTTATTTGTATAGGACAAATGTGTATTTTTATGGCTTATGGCATTTTAACGCATATAATTCAGGGCTATTTTCATTGTAAGTATTACAAAAAATTATAAATAAAAAATATATTTATAAAACACATTTCTTATCAGCTATCATCGAACATTACGATGAGGTAGATAATTTGTATGTGTATGTGAATCATCACTGGGCTTTGTATTTATCGAGTGGCAGCGTTTTGGCCACGATGAATTGGCCGAACCTCTGGTCAATGGTTTTCTTTGCGATGCTCGCACTAATGGCGATTGTTACGATGGTAAAGAATGGGTTATTTTATTTTATATTTTATTCAAATAATTTTTTTTAAATTTCTTTCTTGCAGATCACATGTTTATTCTCTATTTTCCAAAGCATCTTTGATGAATTTGAAATATTGCGTTCGCGAAGAACTGAAGTCACATTCGGCATCATTAGTATACTGGCAGTTTTGTCTTTGTACACGTGCTCCAATGTAAGTTTAATCGATTTTATACTGAAACTAGTTATTGAAATCTATAAACACTATCTGAAAGAAAATACGGCGTTAGGATTCTAAAATGGATTCCACATCGCACTTTAAAACCTTTTCACATTTTTTTAATCATTTTTTTATTCTCAATCATTATTAATGACAATAAGGAATAAATAATGAATATAAAACTAGATATTGGCATATGATGGGCTGTGATGTGATGATATGATGTGATGATATTTGATATGATGTGTGAATTAGAACTACCACATGTTTTTATGTGATAAGATGATCTATAATTTTATGTGATAGTGTGATATGATGTGACCACCAGAACTGCCACATGTTTATATTATATGATGTATTGTATTGAGATGTCATACAATATAATATGCCGTTAGGCATGATATGATACTATGCATATATTGCTATACCATTATAGTTATGTGACCTACATATTTTTTCCTCCGTTTACTATTGCAGCACGGCGTCGTTTTCTTCAGCGCCATGTCAATGGATTCGCTATTTACGCAAACGTCATTGAATCTCTTTCTTCTGCTGGTCGTACTGTGGATTTATGGCCGTGTACGCTTTCAGCGTGATATAGAATTCATGCTGGGTCAACGTTTCTCCACGTGGAAAGTGAATATATTGCGGTTTGTTGCACCGATTTGCCTCATCATATTGTTAGTGAGTTGGCTTACATTTACACATATAGATTTAAATATCAAATCATTTCTAAACATCTCATTTTCTAAACAATTTCATTGATGATAGCTTAAAAAACTTTGCGTTACAACTAAAATATTGTAATTACAGCTAATTTCAGTAATCGCTGCGTTCTACGAGCACAGTGTCGCCTCAATTGTAGTGCATATAGCTGCGGTTTTCCTCATCGTTTTACCTTGGCTCTATTTACCTGGCTACATGATCTATGTACTCCTTCAAACATCGGGTACATTCAAAATGCGTTTTCGGCGTTGCTGTCGTCCATTGGATTGGTATCCTCTTGAAATGGAAGAGCGTCAACGTTATGAAGAGGCCATGGGCAATATGGATATTACGCATCAGTTGAGTCAGATGGAAGATGAAGTTGTGCCATAACGAGTTAATCATGCAGATCTTCGTGGGATGGTTGTGTAATCATATAAAATGTATATATGTATATATTTGCTATGGAGGAAATTAAATTGTGATTTGTAGACAACAACAATTTCTATATATATATTGTTATAAAGAAATCTATTCGAATTTGAACTCATATTTTTACGTTTTCTCTAAGCCAAAGATGATTTTATAATATTCATAATTCTTTTTTTATTAATAAATGCTTTTATTATCTTTTTGCTTATACAAATTATTTATAATATCTTATTATTTTTGTAAATATACATAATATACACTTATGTTAATACTCAAAAAAAAATTATGTTACTTAATCATTACCTAACTTTACTTGTATCTCATATATAAAGCAAATATCTATGCACACTTTGTGACGTCACACTCGCGCCTTAGCTATCGACTCCACTCTGATATTATTCAGTTCACAGGTTAATTTGCGTGAACGCTGATATTCCTCATATTCAAGGCGATATTCTTCGTTTGCCGGCGTCCAATCAACAGCTTGTAATTGTCTTCGCATAGTCTTTAGGGGCGTGCTCTGCCCTCGCACTAATACATAAATCATATATGCTGGAATGCATGCAATGGAGATGGAACAACTCAGCCAACCGAGTGCTATGGCCCAACGTGGATATACATTTCCGTTATAGGTTATATCGCGATTGAATATGATGCTAGTGAAGAACATTCCCTATTATGAAAAGAACGTCAAATACGAACGGAAAAAAGTATTAATTTATCGGTACTTACAATCAATATAATCGGCGTGATGTACATCCAACAAAATTTCCAAACAATACCCGGTCTTTTGCCGATCATAAAGTAAATATCGGCAATAAAATTATCAACGCCATAGATCCAGGCGACCATCACAACTTCCAAACCACATATGAGTATTACCGAAATCGATGCAGAATACCAATCAAATAGTTGCAGTATGAACATGCCGCCCTGGAAAGGAAAAATATAAGATTTATAATTGCTTGAAGAGCCTTTTCCTATTAGCTGACAAGCAAAAACTGCCTAGAATATATGCTTCAATTAAAATTAAAATAAATACAATATATTCGAGATTTGTGCAGAGTTATCAGCCATATGGGAGGACGCTGATGACGCTAAATGATCAGAAAAATGTAGTCGCATCGAAAAGATTATTTCTGCCCTTATTAATAGATTTATTATATCGAGACGCTGTCACGAACAACTGATAGACTGTGTTCCTGAGAGCTTTTGACGTTATGTAGAATTTATCAAGGTATTATTATATATAAAGGGTAACAAGTACAAAACCTCTTCTGTATCAAGTGTCTATCAACCCCTCCTATAATGTTCAGATAAATACTTCCCAGCTCATTTTATCTGAGGTGTCACCAATATGAGAGGAATGTAGACTAAATGATCAAGTTAAAATTATGGTAACATCGAAACGATCATTTCTGAGCTTATAAACAGAATTACTACATCGAAATGCTGTTACAAACATCTAATAGAATTGGTTCCTCAAAAGATTTTGAGATAAGGTATATACTGGAAGTAGAAAGAATTTGTACTTTCCACTTAAGCGGTGCTCCAACCACTCCTTTAATATCCGGCGGAGCTATAAATACCCTCCAGCCCATTATATATGAACTTAAAGTGATACGAAAATATACATATAACATATATCGGGCATACACAAATTCAAAACTATCTTAAAAATTATTATTTCAAAACATATCTAAGATTAAAAGATCTAAGTGTAGAATTAAGTTATAATTGTTATTGTCATTTTCTTACTCTTGTCACCATAATTATTGACATTAAAAACATGATTAAAACCGATCCCAATGTAACTAGCGCCTTATGCTGTCGCAGCTTTGGTATCTCATCGATCACCGACGATATAATCGCCTCAATTTGAACAAACTGTAATTATTTGTTATTAGAAAATTTGTATAACTTTACATAGCTTCAGCCAACACTTACCACACTATCCAAACCAAGCAGAAAGAGCATGACGAAGAAAAGCGCAGCCCACAAATGTGGCATTGGCAGCATGGCGATCGCCTGTGGATATGTTACAAATGCCAGGCCGGGACCAGATGTGGCCACCGTGGCAACAGGTATGCCGGATTGGTCTGTTAGGTCAAAAGTGATAAGTAAAATACGTCAAATGCCTCAAGTAATGGATGCTGGATGTCTGCGTACTTACGTGAGAGGAAACCCAACACGGAGAAAACCACAAATCCCGCAAATATGCTAGTCGCACAATTCACAATCGGTATAACGAATGCATCGCCTCTAGCATTATTGCGAAAATTATTAAAACTAGCCATATTCACAATACCGCCCCAACCTGGTCCCAATGAAAAGAATATCTGTATTGCAGCGTCGGCCCAAACTTTTAGATCCAACAAACGTGACCATTCCGGTTTGATGTAGAACAAAATACCTTTCCATGCGCCAGGCAGCGTTATGCCGCGTATAAATAATACGAAGAGTATGAAAAAGGGAAAGACTGCGGTGAAATAAACCACTTTGCCGACCTGGGGGAATATATGTATATATAAATTATAAAACTTCAAACTAAAAACTATGAAACAGTTAAAAATGCCTACCGTTTTTATGCCGCGTATAATGCAGACATACACCGAAAGCCACACAAAGATCAAGCAATAAAACAGCGGCCATACCAAGCCGCCTAATTCCTCAATACTTCCAGATATTTTCAAAATCTCAAAACTGTAAAAAAAAAATATTGAAAGTGAGATTTCAGGAATGTGCAAACAATTAAGTATTAATACCCACTGAAAGAACTCATCGGCTGGCGTGCGAAACCCAGTGTGATGTGTGAAGTTACGTTTCGCTAACTGAAAGGATTAAAAGAAAAGTATACATAAATAATTAAATTGACATTTTTGATTTTAGTTTTTTTTAACACAACCAAAATTTGTTGAGTCTAAGGCACTAATATGTTAAAGTCTTAAAAGATAGTTAGTCTGAAAACATTATGTGATTCAAAAGAAGACTTATCTTTGAAAGTGATACAGCATAGAAGAGGTTAGGAATAAATGACCAAGGAATCCGGCATGTCGGTGGAGAAGCTGCTTAGGCCCGCATATCACTTTTTCATAACGACAAAAAAATTAATTAGTGCCTTTATGATATGCTAGCGACAAATTTTTGTAAAATTTTACACTATTAGTCCAGGATATATATATTTTTTAGACTGTTTAAGGGCAATTATTATATAGAAATAAAATATAAATACTTTTTTTTTATTTTAATTTTTTTGGTTTTTTTCTGTCATTATTTACTGCTTTGCGAGCAAAAATAACTGCAATCTATGCAAAACAGACCTGACTTCAGCATTCACCACATATAACAATGTTTTCGACAGAGTACACCGCTATTTGTAAAACAATAAAAAAATTAGTACAGATGTCGATAGCTTCATAATCTAGCAACATAACTCGATATATAATATATCCGGCACCCACTGCCTGGCATTTCTGGGAACCTGGTAGCGAACCAGCGATTTGCCTACTAAACTGAATCTTTCTCGGCCGCTGATCGACCGGATGGGGAAATTTTTGTGCAGTATTGTAGTATAAGCACAGGGGCAGGATGCAAAAAATTGAGAAAAATATATCCGGCACCCACTGCCTGGCATTTCTGGGCACCTGGTAGCGAACCAGCGATTTGCCTACTAAACTGAATCTTTCTCGGCCACTGATCGACCGGATGGGGAAATTTTTGTGCAGTATTGTAGTATAAGCACAGGGGCAGGATGCAAAAAATTGAGAAAAATATATCCG